CCCCCCCCCCCCAAACAGTAACCACCATCCTGATTCTCAGGGGAACCAGGTCCCTGATCTCCTTTAGAGTCTCACCACTTACATTCATAAACGATACCTTTTAACACTGCTTTGTAATTTTATATAATTGAATCAAAAGTTATTTGATGTCTTGCTTCTTTCACTCAACATTAGGTCTACAATGTTTATTCTGCAGGCATCTGTTTTCATCTAGGTTTAAAATATAAACAGGAGCTGTCTGGACTTTAGGATTATGGGTCTTTATCCAAATTGGGAAAACACACACACACACACACACAACTAGTAAGTCAGTTATTTATAAAGGTATTATTGTTGACTTGTGTAACTTTTTTGTATTTTATTTTTAAAGTAAAATATATTACTCTTTTTTAAATGCTGAGAAAAATTCATAATCCCATTGGTCAGATAATCTCTCTAAACTACCATGGGCCAATCCAGCCTACCACCTGTTTTTGTATGGCCTGCAAGCCAAGAATGATTTTTTAATGGTTTTTAAAAATCAAAAGAATACGCCATACTCACTTACGGTTTTATGACTGCTTCTGCACTACAATGGCAGAGCTGAGTAACCACATGGTCTACTAGCCAGAGAAAAAGTCTGCAAACCCTGCTCTAAACCATGAGAAGCAGCAGTCCAGGTGAAGCTAACTTTAAACTAGAGAGAAGAAACCAGCACCTGGCCAACTGAACAGGGATCTGGAATGCAATACCAGCACCTGGCCAACTGAACAGGGATCTGGAATGCAATACCAGGGTTCCATAGCTGCCGAAGTACTCTTCATCCTGCCACGTGTCTTCAGGATCACACTCCTCCAAATGCTTCCCAAGGTGGTTTGCAGGTATGTACCCACAGCAGCCTGCGCGCTCGCCCCACCACCAATCAGCAGTTGTCTGTCTCAGGACGAGAATTTTTTCCCCTCTCAAAAAGCTGAGCTGGAAAAAACATACACAGAAGTCAAAATTCAAGAAAAACCTGAAAGTGGTATTTCAATTGTAGCTCAGTGATAAATCCCCCATAACTGGGGCCCAAATCACAGCTATTTCAAAAAGGACCCAACAGGTAATTATACCAACTCACAATTTGTGAAAATGATACCAAGGTTTAGAGATTTTTATGGAACATCTACATGAAAGAAAAGCACGTGGTATTTTTTAAAGGAAAGATGAAACATTTTCAAATGGCTTAGGACAGAATTTCTGAACAGCCGCTTCACAGTAACTCTTACACAGTTACATTTACACAGTAAAATGTGGTAGGTGATTCATTTACTGGGTTACAAAGTAGGAAAAGCTACATTCAAGTCAGTATCTTTATCTTATAGCCTTATTTTTCATTAACTAGAATAGGTTCTAAACCAAGGTTTCCAAACAGAAATTGGAGCAGGTGCTTCCCCCGATTCCTTACCAGGTATCTTTCACCTAAGGCTTGGGACTGGAACTTGTTAGGGTAGGAAGAGAAGGGTCACTCACAGGTCTCACTGGGCTCTAAACGTCTGAATACCTCTTTACTTAACTTTGGTATGACTTCTTCAAATATTACATCTACTTCTGTCATTTAGCATACTGAATCAAAAAAAAAAACATGGACCGAGGCCCATGGCCACTGCACGTGAGCAAGTGCGTCGGGTTACCTGCGTCTGGTCAGTGGCAGAATAGTCTGCAATGGCCACAAACTCTTCCGGGTGCGCACTCTCCTGGAGATGCTCCTGGCCACCACATTCCATGAGACCCTCTCCCTCCTGCTCAAAGCAAAGGAAAGAACAGGAGATGACTATGGTGCTTCTCTTTCTGTCCATCCTAATAACTTGTAGCCTTTTGGTTATTTCATTTGGGTTCAAATGAAGATTCGTGTGACCAGATTTAATCCTACAAGTTGAGTCATCTTCAGTAGCAGGATCAAGGGATCTCACCTTCGCTCTACCTTTATGTCTCTAGTACAAAATTATTAATACATCCTAAAGAGAACATCAAAGAAAGAAATAAGAGGCACTTTTAGCATCTACCTGGTGACTGACCCTGAACATCATCCTCAAAGTAGTGACCAGCCCTAAGAGAAAGAAGACCTGTTCCTGGGCATCATGCTCTGGGGACCTTGTCAGACCCGAGGGCAGAACTGCAGAACTGGGCAGCCCTCAGGAAGGTGCTAGGGACCGGCACAACCCTCGCAGCCTCACTCAGACTGCACTGCTGCTGTCACACGCTGCTCAGGACCCAGAAGGGGAGCCCTAGAGTGCACCTGCCCAGTCTCCACTTTCCATCAGAACAGACTTGCCGTGAAGACACCCATTGGGGGTGGGAGAACCTCCAACCACACGTTCCAGTTCAATGAAGCAACCCTGTCCCCATATATACATTTTAAACAAATTTTCCTGAACAAATGTAATTCACATTCTTTGGAAAATGTGTGAAAGCACAAGTGTACCCAGAGGAAAATTACAACCATCTGTAATCTTGCTCACTGGTCAGGGATAATGATTAACATACTAACATTTATATTCTTTCCAGCTTTTTTTTTTTAAGTGTACATATAATATGCGCATATAGGGTATTTATGGAGATCATATAATTCTGCCTTGTGACAAGTTTCCCACTCATTAAATTGTGAGTATTTGGGGCGCCTGGGTGGCACAGTCAGTTGAGCGTCCAACTTAGGCTCAGGTCATGATCTCATGGTTCATGAGTTTGAGCTCCGCGTCAGGCTGTGTGCTGACAGCTCAGAGCCTGGAACCTGCTTCGGATTCTGTGTGTGTCTCTCTCTCTGCCCCTCCCCTGCTCATGCTCTGTCTCTGTCTCAAAAATAAATAAACATTAAAAAAACTTTTTTAATTTGTATTTTCCTCATTAAATTACTTCTAAATACATTTCTAATATCTGATAGTATTCCATTCTATGAATAATCTTAATTTATTTATCTGATCTCATTATGTATTCTTAAACTGTTTTCAGTTTTTACATTACAAATTATGTAAGACAAACTTTTTAAAAAAAATTTTTTTTAACACTTACTTATTATTGACAGAGAAAGACAGAGCATGAGCATGGGAGGGGCAGAGAGAGGAGACACAGAATCCGAAGCAGGCTGCAGGCTCTGAGCTGTCAGCACAGAGCCCAACGTGGGGCTCGAATTCACGGACCGTGAGATCATGACCTGAGCCAAAACCAAGAGTCAGATGCCCAGCCAGGTGCCCCACTTTTATAACTTCTGATATCACCACCAAATACCCTCCAGAAAGGTAGCTCCTCAGACCTACATAAGACTAAAAGAGGGGCACCAGGGTGGCTCAGTCAGCTAAGCATCCAACTCTTGATAGCGGCTCAGGTCATGATGTCACAGTCGTGGGTTCAAGCCCCATGTTGGGCTCTGCACCAACAGCATGGAGCCTGCTTGGGATTCGCTCTCTCTCCACCCTGCCCCTCGCTCCCCCTCCCCTGCTCATTCTCGCTCTCTAGTCTCTGAATAATCATAAAAGAAAACAGTGAATGGTTTTCCCACACCCTTATCAACAGTGGACATGCATCATCACTCAACTCTGCCAGTTTGATGTGGAGACACTGTCTTTGTTAGTTCCATTTGCCTTTATTTTTTTTTTATAATTTTACAATTTACTATTTTATCTTATTTTAATTTTATTTTTTGACAGAAAGCAGGGGAGAGGGGCAAAGGGATGGAAAGAGAATCTTAAGTAGGCTCCATGCTCAGTGCAGGGCCCAAGCTGGAGATCAATCCCATGACCCTGGGATCATGACCTGAGCCGAAATCAAGAGTCAGACGTTGAACTGACTGAGCCACCCAGGTGCTCCAGTTCCAGCTGCCTTTAATTTTTAGTGAGGTCAAACATGTTTTTCAAGTACTTTTTGGTCATCTTTTTTGTTAGTTGCCTATCTGTATCCTTTGCACATTTTCTTACTACAGTAATCTGATTCATTTTACACAGTATAATTTCCTTTTTAGCTTGCTCCCCTTCCCCTGCCCCTGCTCCACCTACATCATCAGCTTCTCACCGCCCTCCCTAACCTTTACCAGTCACCTGGCACATCCTCCCACACTTTCTCCATGCTCGTGTCACACACACATCCATGCACACATACACCCACACACATGCGGTTTTTCTTCTGACATAGTTGTTTGTGAAGGATGTCACAAACCCTTTTATTAATTTTGGGTTTTTTTTACTCACATTATAACTTGCAAAAAAAACTCCCCAATTCTTAGAACTCTAATTTATAATTTCCAATGACTATATAATACTCTACAAAAGGAATTCTTCCTGATTCTTCAGTCACCCTTGATTGATGGACTTTCTCTTGGTGTCCAACTTTCTACCACCGTAAACAATGTGGCCACAAACATCTCTACACATTTATCCTTATGTCATGATATTTTACTTCTATGGGATAGATTATCAGGGCTGAAAAATATGCATGGTTTTCATTCACACATTTGCCAGATTCTTTCCATCAAAGGTGCAGTACTTCACACTTCACGGCAATGCAGCGAGTGCTCTCTGCTTGAATACTCACCAGCAACCGGCATTATCACAGTCTTTAATATTTTCCAGAGTTTTAGATATAAAGACACCAGAAAAGTAAATATGTAGGGAGACAAGACTATTTCTTATCCTTTATAAGAAAGACTTAAACAGTGTAAGGAAACAATAATAATTCATTATGGGGCTTCTGACATATAAAGAAGTAAAGTATGTTACAACAATAGTACAAATAGCACAAAAATGGGGGCTGGTAAAGGCAAGTAATTTGGAGGAATCTTACATCATGAAGTGGTCGGAAAAAAAAAAAGACTGAGATAGGTTAAAGATGCATATCACAATTTCTTGGGTAACCACTAACATATCAGTAAAAGATACACATGAAAAGCCAATAGAGTAAATAATGTGGAATTGCAAACAATATTTTATTAATCAAAAAGGAGGCAAGAATGGAGAAAGGTACAAAGAATATGCAAAGAAGGAATAGAAAAACAGCAAGATGTTAGACTTAACCATACCAGTCATTATGTTAAATGTTAACAGACTAAATACTCCAATTTAGGAGCAGAAGTTACCCGACAAGGGGGAAAAATGACATACCTATAGGCTCTTTACAAGAGAAACATTTTAAATATATGGACTTAGATTTAAAATAGATTCAAAATATTGGTGTATGTGTACCACGCAAGCTGGTACAGCTGTATTAACATAAGACAAAATAGACACAGGGCAAGAAATATTAATAGGTAAAAAGAAAGACTTCATAAAAATCCATCAATCTAGAAAGTAAAATCTACCCTAAATCCATGCACCAAGTAACAGATTCAAAATATATGAAGCAAAAAGTGACAGATTCAAAAGGAAATTTAAAAAAAAAGACAAATCCACAATCAAAAAGGACATTTTTGAAGCTCATCTCTCTCAGTAACTGACACAACAAACGGGCAAAAAGTCAGAAAGGACACAAAAGACTTAAACAACGCTAATAACCCATTTGACCTTGATGACATTTATAGAAAACCAACAACCACAGCAAACATGCTCTTTGCACATGCATGTGGAACATTCGCCAAAACAGCCCATCTGACTAGGTCACAAAGCAGGCCTGAATAAACTAGCAAACACTGAAACTTTAAATAGTATCTTTTCTGAACAACATAAGCAAGCCAAAATTAAATAACAAAAAGATAAGCAAAAATTCCTAAATGTCTGAAAATAGACAACACATGTCTGAATAGCCCAGAAATTTTCTAATTTCCACTATAACATATTAGAAAGTATTTTAACTGATCAACAATGAAAATATGATGTATATAAGTGTGTGAGGTACAGCAAACCGATGGTCAGAGGTAAAGTTACACCTTTAAAAACATATATTGGGGCGCCTGGGTGGCGCAGTCGGTTACGCGTCCGACTTCAGCCAGGTCACGATCTCGCGGTCCGTGAGTTCGAGCCCCGCGTCAGGCTCTGGACTGATGGCTCAGAGCCTGGAGCCTGCTTCCGATTCTGTGTCTCCCTCTCTCTCTGCCCCTCCCCCGTTCATGCTCTGTCTCTCTCTGTCCCAAAAATAAATAAACGTTGAAAAAAAAAATTTAAAAACATATATTAGAGAAGGAAGGTTTTTGTGTGTGTGTGTGTGTGTGTGTGTGTGTGTGTGTGTGTGTGTGTTTTTAACATTTATTTATTTTTTGAGAGACAGAGACAGAGCATGAGCGGGAGGGGACAGAGAGAGAGGGAGTCACAGATTCCAAAGCAGGCTCCAGGCTCTGAGCTGTCAGCACAGAGCCAGACGCAGGGCTCAAACTCACAGACTGTGAGATCATGACCTGAGCCCAAGTAGGACTCTTAACCGACTGAGCCAGCCAGGCGCCCCTTAAAGAAAAGGAAGGTTTAAATCAGTGATCCAAACTTCCATCACAAGATGCTATAAAAATAGAAAATGAAACCCAAAGTATAAAAGAAATAAAGAGAAAAGAGAAAACCAATGAGATAGAAAACAGATGAACACAGAGAAATTCAACAAAGACAAAATGGGTTCTTTGAAAAGATGAAAGTGATAAAACCCCTTAAAGGTGATCAGGGGAAGGAAAGATAAAACACAAATTTTGAATAGCAGGCATCTCTTCTGTAATGAAGAGTGCTATTAACCGGATGAACACAAACAGTACAGAAATCCTTCCATGACAGATGCCCAAGTAATTAAGAACTAAATAACAAGATATCATTTCTAACTCATCAGACTGAGCAAACTTTCAAAGTCTGATGCTCTCAAGTGTTACCAAGCACTATATGGGTTCCTGGCAGACCAGTAAACTGGAGAACAACTGATCACTATCTAGTAAAACTGAAAATATGCAATCCCTTCCACCCTGCAATGCCATTACTAAGTATACACCAGAGAGCACGTATGCACAAGGAGATGTGTAGGATATTTGCTGCAGCACTGCTGGAAATAGACAAAAACTGAAAACATCAAGTGTCCACAAAAGGGAAATAAATAAAATGTGGTGTACATCTACTGTATAACAGTAAGACTGCAACTGACCTGCATACATCAAGGGCAAATCCCCCAAAAGTAACATTAGTGGAGGGGCGCCTGGGTGGCTCAGCTGGTCAAGCATCTGACTTCAGCTCAGGTCACGATCTCTCGGTTCATGTGCTGACAGCTCAGAGCCTGGAGCCTGCTTCAGATTCTGCGTCTCCCTCTCTCTCTGTCCCTCCCCCACTAGCGTGCACACACGCGCTCTCTCTCTCTCTCTCTCTCAAAAATAAATGTTAAAAAAAATTTTTTTACAGTAACAGTGGAAAAAGCAAGCAGCAGATGACACAGAATATGAAGCCACTTAAGTAAAATCTAAAAAGCACACACAGAGTATCATATGTTGGTCAAAGATGCCTATACTAGGTATAAAAACGTAAAAAAATGGTGCAGAAGCACAAAGATCAGTTTATAATTCACAGTAGTATTTGCCTGTGGAAACAGAGGAAGAAGAATGGGGCTGGGGCACAAACTTTATCTATGGTTTCCTTCAAAATATATACATATATGTATATATATTTACATTCTAAAGCAAATACGACAAAATGTTAACAAGTTTTCACTTTTGTGTGGCATGTACAAATAATGTTTGCAATATTATTCTATAAAGTTCCAACATTTTAAAAATTTCTCAAAAGAACAGGACATCCATGGAATTAAAAAGTTTTATGATTAAGAAAGATTAATGACACAACTATGAATCAAATCTATATATGAAAACCCAAATGAAATTAGAACAACCATTAGAAGGCTAGAAAAAAAAGAAATGTTAAAATTGGACATCACAGATATAAAAATGTTTGATTTTTTAAAAAAGATTATTTGAGTATTCATTTGGTTTTTAATTTGATATAATCAACATTCCTTGAAATGTAATCTTTTTTTTACTAATAAGTTGAATGAAACTAGATGTGTTACAGGCAGAAAAAAAGTATGAATATATAAATCACTTCTAATGTGTCTAACCTGCTTATAAGACATTATGCCTAGGACCTTATTAAACAACTAAAACAATGTGCTTGCTTCACCAGCACAGGTACCAAAGGTAGGTTTCCTGGGAGGTGTTTATGATGCCCAACTCAGAATGCCATCTGTAATTTCCTCTATGTAAGCATCCCATGGTTGGTGGCTAAGCTCTGCTCTCTGCAATGTTCATAGTTTTTAAATACAGGTTCTTACATACTAGACCTGAAATTACCTGCAATTCACTTCTGGGGCAGTCATCTGATGTTGCCATGGTTCTCTTAGGATCTGCCGCATAGCTGCCGCTTTTAATGTTTCATTTTCCCCTCCATTTCTACTTTTGAAAAGAGAGAGAATGAGAAAATACTTTGTTACCCTGCATAATAATTAGGTTTGCTTCACTTCTACGGTCCATGATAAAGATCCTATGCCAAAAGGAAGTAAAACGGATTTTTAAAGAATGAAACAGAAATCAAATTTATAAATGAAATTCTTCATGAAAACAATAGAAAGCATTTGAAATTTATGAACTTCTGTGTGTTTTCTTCACTAGTCTACAAAGGTGCTGATCTTATTTATTTAATGAATACTGTTAGTTTCTGTTAGATTACTGAATTGATTTAAAACAACAAATTAATGCCAAATCTTTTCTTGGAACCCTGATAGCCTTCACTCCAATTAAAATTCCTTACTGTCAAAATCAAGGAAACCTCATTTGAAATGTAGTCCGGAGGCCAGCAGGGGGAGCTCTCACACCCTACCACTCCTTATAGACCAGACAGGAAAAAGTTCACTTTCCTACCACAGCAGGGTCTCCTACCCAAGGCAGCAGCCCAGCCAGTGAGAAACAGCCAAACAGCCTTAGCCCAGCCAATCAGGAAGGGTGACCACCCACACTCACTTTCCTCCAATGGCCTTTCCTTCAAAGCAGCTCCTCCCAACTTCCTCCTTTTTTTCTTTTCTTTCTTTTTTTAATAGAGAAGGTGAGCAGAGGAGGAGGGGAGGTGCAGGGAGAGAGGGAGATAAAGAGAATCTTAAGCAGGCTCTACGCTCAGCCCTGAGCCCCATGATGGGGTCCTGGGGCTTGATGTCACAACCTTGTGATCATGACCTGAGCCCAAATCAAGGGTGAAATGCTCAACAGAATGAGCCACCCAGGTGCCCCACCTTTTTTCTCTATATAAAGTAACCTTCCTCTCCTACACTAGTCCATTTGCCAGTAGTTTCCCCATAGTTTGCAGGTCTGAAATTGTAATTCCTCTGTCATTTCCAAATAAACCCACTTTTCTGGTAAAAATAACTGGTTGTTTTATTTTCAAGGTCAACAGCACCTGGGGCTTTCAAGTGTTTCCACTAACAGGAACCAAAAAGTCTACATCTTCCAGAGGCTTTCCCTTCTCATTCTCAGTTCTCATTTTTCCCCGTGACCGTATAATCCATACTATACTCCAACATGAATGTGTTTTTTCTTACATAACAATGCTTTGTTTAAAATGCATGCTTCACTTATTCATGACTTAATACTTATTTTTGTGGGATCTATAATTACAATGTGAAAATTAACAGAACAGAGTCGTTTAGAATGGAGTCAGAGGAGGCCAGCAACGAGCGCTACCTGCAGACCCACCAGAAAGAGCAGATCCCGCAGTGGATACTACTACACTCTTCTAGCAGCAGAAAGGATTTCCTCCTCCCCCCAGCAACAGTACAACCAATGAGAGACTATCACAACCCAACCAATCAGAAGCCACTACACTTTCAACTCTCAGCCATAGACTGCTTATCCTGGATTGTAATTATCTGCCATTCTTAAATAAACCCATTTTTGCTGGCAAAATACCTAGCAGGGTTTTGTTGTTTTTGTTTTAGGGTTAACAACAAACACTAATATATATACATTGTATTTTCACTGGAAAACACTGGCACTGGGGCCAGGGCGGGATGGAGCCTGGACAGGGATGGTTTGCTGGAAGGGGCTGGGGAGGGTGAGGCTGGATCCGGTTGATGGGGCTGGGGCAGGGCCAGGTGGGCTGACCAGCCTGCGGGGGGGGGGGGGGGGGGGGGGCACCGGGTAGACGACCCAGGATCAGGGACTAGTGGCCAAAGGCAATAGGGGATGGGAGGAGAAAGAATGAGGGGGATACGAAGTGAAACACAGGGCTTAGATGCAGGAGTACTACCAGGGGTAAGGAGGAAAGGGAGCGGGCTCACAGAGGATGAGGGCTCGCGCAGACGAAAGTGAGGTGGGCACCTCTCCGAGAAGGCGTGGCTGGGGAAAGCGGCACTGCGTTGTTGGGCGTGGTGGTGGGGGGGGAGGAACCAGGGTGGTGGGCGTGGCCGGGAGGGGGCGTGGCCCTGCAGTCGCCGAGCTTGCAGTCAGCGGCCAGACCTCCTAGCACATAAGAGGGAGGTTCGGGGGTCTTCAAGGGGATAGAGGCCTCGGTCGGCCTACTGACGCACACGCCCGGTAAGGACCCTCACTTGGCACGTCCTACCTCAGTTCGGTCCAGCCGCCTGAGCTGCCCACGAGAAACCTACCTCAGCCGCCTTTCTCCGCTGAGTTCTGCGTCCACACCGCCGGTGCGGAGGGGCAGACAGCGCTTACCAGGAGCCCGAGCCACCGCCCTGGGCCCGCGCAAGCGCAGTACGCGCAGGCCGGCAGCGGCCAGAACCCCTCCCTAGGCCCCGCTCCCTACGCCTGCGCAGTCCGCACTCGTCCCTATGTCCGGGTAACGGAGCCACAGTCTTCGGCCCCACGCAGGCGCAGTCGCTCAGGCCCGTCTAGGAGAAGGACCAGTTCTGGGCCAAGCGCGTCGCGCAGGCGCACTTCACGAGTCCCGTCTCCCGCAGTGGCGCGCACGGGGAACACGGAGCCCCCTTCTGTGCCCGCTGAGCCTCCTGTAGGGGCGGGGTCAGCGATGGGGTTGCAGCCGGTTGTGGGTCCCCAGCCTGGTTGAGGCGGTGGGTGGCGGAGACCCGAACCGTACGCGAGTTGGGGATGTGGAGCGATGGCGGCCGGACCCGAGTTAGTGGAGGGGGAACAGTGGAGGCCTCACCCAGTGTTGGGAGCGAGGCAGCAGGGGCCGCTGCCGGACTTTGGTTAGGAGGTGGGGCAGCGGGGGCTGCGGATGGACCCGGGTTAGGGGGTGGAGCTGGGGGGGCCGGGACCGTACCC